GGCGCACAGAACTGGACACAATACTCCAGCTGTGGCCTGACCAGCGTCGCGTAGAGGGGGAGGATCACCTCCTTGGCTCTACTCGAGATGCACCTGTGGATGCATGACAAGGTCCGGTTAGCCCTGCCAACCATGACCTCGCATTGTCGGCATTGGGATACAATTCATGGCCCATTATAATCTACCTGATACTCATTAACTCTTCTAAACAAGCTCTTGTCCCATCTGACACTTAGCTCTGCTGTGTCTGAGGTCTTCCCTGAGGTCTAAAGAAGAGTACTTCTGGGCACATCTACATAAAGTGCTTCAAGCATGGACTAATTCTACTGGGCATTAGCACAGTGGGCAAAACCTGTGCTAATGTACAGTAGAATTAATCTACTGCACAGTAGTGTCACCTAAAATGTGTGCACCAGCACTACTGCACAGTAATGCTGGTTACTGAGCATTTAGTTTGGTACCTGTAATAACATTAATGCATATGTAGACATACCCCCTGATATCCAAAAGATGCCTATGTCTATCCCAACTATGCAACTTGGCCTATAAAAGCGATCACCCACAAGAATTCTTGCCTCAAGCCTCCTAAAACTGCAGGGTCAGTAATGTATGCATGGAAATGGCTGCTATTAATGATAGAGCTCAAAGTGGAGAAGGAACACTAGCATAAACAAACAGTCAAAGGAACAGTTGTAAAGACTTAGCTCAGTGGTTGCAGCAGGAAAAAAACCCCCAAAACCTGGTACAGCCTTTTCTGTAGTATCCTTTGTGACAGGAGTTGAAGTAATCAGCAGTGACATTTTAGTTCATGAAAGCACCGGAGAGAACTATGACAAAATCCTACTGACAGTATTCACAAAATGACGAGAGTGCAACCTAGCATGCAAATCACAGTAGGGCGCCTGAGTTTCTTTGGTCAGTCATCTCTGAAGGGGGAAGCATCAGGCCTGATCCAGATGAAGCAAAATGGGCTAAAGGAGTCAAAAGTACCAACTTGATAGGAAGAAATGGAAAGCAGAATATAAATGGTGACATACTCATCAACCTTTGTACAAAAAGTAGCAGAAATCACAGGACTGCCTAGGAACTGAAGTGTGGGAAGCAAGGAGAGAATGTAGAGACAATGAGCAGGTAGGCAGATAGCACTCTGACAAGACTTTCCAGAGGATGAAGGATGTCAACAATCTCAAGCAAAAATAGAACACTACAATGAAAACAAGGAAGTAGCACTAGAAACAGATGCTTTGCAAGCAACAGATACAGAAGCACTGTTGCAGGATGTACAGCATTGGGTGCATATAAATCAAGGGTACTGGCCACAATGGAACAAAATTATTCTCAAATAGAAATTATTTGCCATTGTCCGTGGAGGTCAGATATGTATCAGTGCACGTGACTGCATAGTAACAAATGAAACAGGTCACAAAACTCTGAAGAATGGTCCCAGTCACATGAACACACAGGAGTTAAGACATCCAATGCACTCCACCAGCTGTCAGCCCCAATCATCCCAAGGCTCCCAACTGCAGGAGCACAGGGGACCAGTGTTCCCATTAAGCTGTGTGGCGTGCATGGCCACGCAGGCGTGCCTGGCAGTGCAGCATGAGCACGCCTGTGCAGCCACGCACCCCACACAGCTTAGAGAGAATGCAGCAGGGGAGACAAATTTTCTATTTGCCCATGCAAGGGAACCCAGTGATCATGAACTCAAGCTCCCCCTTCACCAGCAATATGGTGCAATTGGGATTGAGCCCCAGTCCCACAATCCCGCCTCCTGCCACGCATGTGTGCCATAGCAGGAGGCACAATTGTTGGGGTTGTGTGTCAGATCCCATCAACCTTTAATTTAACATCTGTCAACAGCCCTAGGATACTGTGCCTTGGTCTCTGGACATTTGTGTGTGGTGTGCTGAGAGCAGTGCGCGCTTGAAAAGCCTATTAATGAAAGCCAGTTTATTTTACCCTATCCACTGTGGATCTCCACTGCTGGGTGCAGTCTTAACCAAGACAATACAGGATACATGCTGTAATCCTCTCAAAACAGCTCCCGTTTGCAGTAGGTCAGCCTGTGTGCAATGTTTAGAAGGGCCACAGTAATCCACCCAGCTACCATTTAAAGAATGCTCATGTGCAAGGGGAGAGGCAGAATTTGGACTCGTGTGTGTTTCATACCTTCAGTGCTTCTTAAACTTATATGCTTCAACTCACTTGAAGTCACTTTACTATTTATGATTAACATCCTAAGCAAAAATATATGGATACTTTGCTGCACTGGACTTAAAAGTACAACTTTTGTATTTGTCTCTATCAGGGGAATTATGTATTTTTTATAAAATCAACTGCAAACTCTCTGAATCAAGGATGTTATTCTACAGGTATGGATGAATGTATCTTTGAACCACCTTAAAAATGGAATGAAAACAGACATCAGCTTGGGAGTACATACCAACTATTACTCTCTGTTACAAATGTATGATCCTGTTGGGATATAAATCAGTGAAAACATCTTTGTGAATTACAACAAGTAGATGAACAGAAGTGGACCCTTTGGCTTTCCCCTGCTTCATTCAACTTACTTTTATTAAAAAATTCAAAGGAAATATGCAAAACTGATCTTTTTTCAAAGATTTCTTTTAATTTACTTTCATAGTTTCATAGTTTCTAGGGTCGGAAGGGA